GTTGAATCTGCTGTTTCTGTAAATGCTTTGTTGTGTTCAGGTTCTTATCCCACCCACCGTCCTGACATCGCTATAGCCTCAGCATTTACTAATTAGTTCTTTATTGTTACTTTAAGAATTAGCCAAAACATTTGTAATTTCATTGACATCAATAAGTGAAGTGTAAATGTTTTAAATACCTTAAAATCTCCTTGCTTATGACGGTCAAGTGGTAAGCAAGCATTTTTCCAGCTCCCAAAGGTCTCCAGTTACAAGATCCCAACACCTCAGCCTGTGGATGTTTTGTGGGATTCTCCATCGAGAAGGCTATGTATGCCCTGGGCTTCCCTTCAGGTTACATGCCTACACTTATGTCACTATATAACTTCTTTACAGGTGTGCTTGAATTGAGGAAGGCGTTATAGCTGATTATGTGAGGCTGGGGAGTTATGGATGCTTTTACCAGACTCCCCTCTTATTTGGGTTGGTTGGGAAAGCCTGCCTGTGGGCAGAGGGAGAAATGTTTATGTTTCGAGAAATAATTAGTGCCACATTTTTTTCTTACAGTCTGGGTCCTGCTGCACAGAGTGAGGTGTCCCCTCAAGCCCCATTTTGCCAGTGTCTTGTTAACATGAGAGAGACCTGTTCCTCAAAGGCAATAGGGCATGCAGGCTATTAGCTTCCTGTTACTGACAACTGTCAGAGCTACTGGGTACATGATGAATTTTCTGCTTAAAGGTCATTTTGCTGCAGTGTTTCATTTTCTTTTTATAATCATTCCTGGTTCTTATTCCCCACCTGAGATCATTATACTGTTTGTGCTGGCACAAAACCATCTCTACAGGAACTAACTGATGTCACACGCAGCAGATAATGGGATGAATTCTACACTCACACTTGCTGCCCTTAAACTGAGTGGAGAAATTGGCTTATTTACTTTAGCTGTGAACTCATCTAACCAGCAACGACTTTGCTTTGATGCAAAGATGACTGCTAGAGTTAAGGTTACAAAATAGTTTCCATGACAGTCCCCTGTTTTTATTTGCATGCAACTTTCCCTCCCCCCCCCCCCCAAATCAGTTTTTAGGCTGAAATTTGTGCAGACTTGTCCTCTACCTGCAGTTGATATTTTTGACTTCCAAGGAGCAGAATGTGAGCGCGTATGTTTCCAAATAACAATCATAGATCATTGAAAATATGGGATGGGCTGACAGCTGCACAGAGGGGGAAAATCTAGCCTGAGTGCCCTTTGGCTGTGGAATCATTGGTGCACAAAGCAGGTGTTTCATCCCTGAGTGGCTTGGAGTGCTACTTCATTCAAACTCCCTGAGGGGAATTGGGATCAGAAGATCCATATTATGTCAGAACTTCTTCCTGCAGGAGGATTGCATGTGAGCCAGTAGACAGTTACTTCATGGCCCGGGGGGAGGATTCTATTCCCACACACACCTTGACACATCTGCCCAACATCTGGCTTCATTCACTAGAGACTTTAAAGATGGATAGGCACACATGCAAGAGTAGGTAGTTAAGTGGGCAACTATTTAGTTATAGAAATGTACACTCTCACTGCTGAAGCAGGAGGTTACTGTAAACTTGAGAGGATTCATAGCAAAGGGTGATGGATCTTTTAAGCACAGCAAGTTGCTTAGGTTCTGACAAAGGAGATTACAACACTTTGGCAGCTCGGCAAGTATATTAACTCTCCAGCAAGGACCTTCAGAACCTGCTGCACCAGCAAAGTCTGCAGAGTTTTTAAACTGCACCTCTTGGTTTTTATTTTTAACATTAAATCCCAGAGAAATTAAATGTGACAAACTAGGGCCTGTAAGAACAATTAGGGTTAGGAGTATAGTACTTCAAAGTCATGAAATTACACTGCAGGAGAAACATTTATGTTTGTAAGTTGGCGTATGTCATATTTTTGCTAATTTATATTTCTTTTCGTTGTTAAATATAAATTTTCATACATCACTGCAATAAATACAAAACTATAGAATACAGAGCATATGCATCATGGCTGAGCTGATGATGTGGGAGAAACCTTCGCTTTGGGAATTTCATGATATGAAATACTTCATGTGACAACTGTCAGTGCAGTAACAATTGCTTTTTTAATTTAGTGCTGTTTATTTTAATTTATTATTTTTCTTCCCTTCTCTGCTCTACACAGTCTCTTCTAAGACAAACGTTTAATCCAATAAGGTTAAAATTTGAATCCAACCACAATGTTCAATTGAATTTGAAATTGGGATGAGTGAACTCATGCTACTTAATGTCAAGGGAAGAGCTGCATTTATTGCAGTTTAATATCCCAAGGCCAGAGGACTCAGGACTTATTCACTTCCCCCTTATATTCAGTATGAAAGCCTGTTAATGCCAAATGGAATGTGGCCTCTTGCATCTGTATTTTTAATATTCATTTTCAATTTCTCCATCTTAGGTCTATATGATTTATAAGGATGCTATCATTTCTGCCCTTCCTGTTGCCAGATTTGGCCTATTTTTCCTTTCTCTAGTCCCACTCCACTTAACAATGCTGGAATCGGCAGCTTCCTGTTTTCCTCCCACTTGAATCTCCTGATCTTTTTTGCCTTATTTTCTTACTCCTTCTCTCACAGCCTATCATCCCTGCAGTGAATGGGGAAATACTCTGTTTAGACTCAATACAACATTTCTAACCACCTTGAGAGATGGCGAAGTATTCAACGAAGATACTTCAGCACAGCACACTTGTACATCAGCGCAAGGGGCAGGTAAATAAAAATCTACATGTTACTGGCACAATTTCCAAGGGGTCGAGTTTCCTGGTTTTCCACCACACTTGGACAGTGGAACTATATTTGAAAACAATGCTATGTTAAAAAGCAGCAAAGAGATTACTCAACTTTACCTAAAGATGTGTTCTGTGTCAAAGTGATATCTCCCCTACTTCTAGTCCAAAGAATCACAAAGCAAGTCTGAATGAATCTATCACCTTGAGGTTGAACATCAGCCAAGAGGTGCAAAACCAGAGCTGCTACAGCACTTTTTATGCATTATAGATTAAAAACAATGTTTGCAAAATACTTCAATTTTTAATTTTAACATCTAAAATGCCTCCTGTGCTCATAGGCTAGTTTGCCTGTATCATAACACAATATGCAATGCAAAACTTTTAACCAATCCACTCATAATATGCAAATGACCTGCTGGTATTCAATCTATAAAACTGAATCTTCAAAGAAAATTATTGGTCTGGTAAAAATATTTTTAATAATGACCACAGAAGCCATATTTGTCTGTTTGATCTACTGAAGCATCTTCTGGTTTTAATCAGTGTTCCCACATAAAATATAGTGGAAATCTACAATAACAAAACCCCTGTTCCCTATTCATAAGACAACAACCAGGCTCTCCTCTCAGGAAGGAAAGTTGGTGTTCTGGCCCTTCAATTCCTGGGCCCCAACCTCTATTACTATTGGGATGTCTTGGCATCAGTTAAATGGTTTCAGTCCTTCTCTCCATTATTTTACTGTTTCATTAAATGTTTGTTGTTTAATTATATCCTTTCAATCAAATTAGAGACTGCAACATCTGGTTAATGCCTGTAACTGTTGCCATCTGCACCTAGATAAAGCTCTTTTCATTTAAGGAGGATTGCTCAAGTTCCAAATTGCAGTTTAGAAACAGTTTAGTTTGAGTGGTGGGTAACTTAAAAGGAACTTCTTCAAAGTCTCTGGGAGATGCCCTGCTTGCTGTGATGTATGCAAGAGTGATATACAGTACCCTCTCATCCTGTTCAGCAGGAGGCTTTAGCTGCCACGTACATATACACACGTGCACATGCCGAAGGAGTCCAAGCACTAAATCTGCACTAAGTATCTGGCCACCAGTTGCCAGACCAGTCCCTCTAGAATGTAAATTGGCTCCAGGATCTCACTTCCTGCTTTTAGAAAGCTGCTGTCCCTGTGTTATTCCCTTCACAAACTTTACTGAACAATTTTAATAAGAACAAACCACCACCAAAACTGTCAATTCATCTGTGGGAAATGTAGGATCCTACATGCTCTGTCCTTGCCCCATGGGGGCTCTTACAGGCTAATGTTATAGACATTGCATTACTATTGTACTGAAATCTAAGATGGAGATATCAGCTTCCTTACTCACTCTCTCTCTCTCACTGCCCTCTAAACCATAACCATTGCTGACTGGCTGATGTTAAAAACCAATAAACTTGGCTGGAGCTATTCTCTACACACCCTGTTTTTTTAGAATAAATTATCTGGCATCAATCCAGAATTCTTGGTACCTTCCTCAAATTAAAACAAAACACTATAAATTTGAACACTTTTCAATAAAATACTTTGAATCAGCAAGTTTCCAATTCTAAATTTTCTAATTAAGTGTCCCACAAAAACTAGACACACTCTTCCCTATTTCACTCTAAGACTTGACTTAGTTCATTCTGCAACCTTCAGCCCTTCCATCCATGAGCCTTGACATCCATTCTTGCAGGTATTTATTTAACGATAAATGTTGCAGCATGCTCATAAGGTTTACAAAATCTCACATTTGTTGATAAGGGAGAGACACAAGTTCGACAGTTAGGAATGTCTTCAAATAAAGCACCCTGTTTACTGCTCCCTCTCCCTTATATAGAAGGGGCTCTAGCTCAAGTGCCTCCACTGATCTAAGAAGTGGTAGTGTGGGATGGGGAGAGAAACACTATCCTTGGTAATGGGGTCTTGCACCAGGTGGTTTTAAATTAAAACCAAAACCTTGAACTCCACCCAGAAACTTATTGAGAACCAATGCTGCTCTTGGAATATCACTGCTATATGCTCTTTGTGTCACACACTTTGCAATGGGCAGGCAGCTATATTCTTTGCTACCTTAAGTTTCCAAGTGGTCCTAATGAGTAATCCCATGTGGAGCACAGGGCAGCCATCTAGACCCAGGGTGACAGAGGCCTGGATATTGGTAGTAAGGTCCCCACATCGGAGAAGAAAGGTCACACATGTCTAATCGAAGACATATGGAAAAAACTTTTACTGGCTTCAGCTGCTATTTGATCTTCCAAAAGCAGCTCTGGCTCTAATAAAACTCTTAATTTTGAACCTGAATCACATAAAGCAGGCACTCTCTCCCTACATGAGGTACAGCTATCACTACACTCTTTTGATTTTTCCCCTCCTGACCTACCAATACCTTTTTAGCTTATCTGGATTAAGCCTTAACCAGCTTACCCTTATCCACTCTCAGACTTCGTAAATATAAAGTGGGTTGCTTGTTCCACTGTACCAGGATGGTTGGATATGATGAAAACAGAGCTGAGTGCTATCAGTACACTGCACACTTCACCGGTGTTTTTTCACTGACTTGCCTAGAAGTTTCATATACACATTGAACAGATCTTCCAGCTGTGAATGATCAGAACCACTCAAGTAATTCCATCCATACCTAATAGTGATTATATACACCCCAATGAAATACCATGGGCAAAGGTATCAAAAGACAGCTGATGGATCTAATATTATCAGCATTGACACGTTATTCTCATCCACCCATAGATGATGCTCTGCAACCAGTGCAGTTTCAGCTTCAAACCTAGGCCTGAAACCTAGCAGACAAGGATCCAGGAAATATGAGGACTACAGAAATTTCCAGAGTTGATTTGCCACAGCGTTCTCAATGAACTTTCTCCAAAAACTGACACTTTGATAGAAGTCAAGCAATGATTTCTTAAGCAGGAGCCAACAATGTCTTCCTTAAGGATGGTGGGCATTCTGCCCTCTTTCTGTCTTTCTTTCTTTCTTTCTTTCTTTTTAAGAGAGGCACTGACAATTGTCCACAACAAAAAGTTCATTACTTCTCTGGTGGCCTTCAACAGCCACAAAGGACATGGCTCCAATTCACAGGTTTTGACACAAAGCAAACTTAAGTTCTCCAAAACCTCAGGGAGCAAGACTGGCTGAAATTCAAACAGAATGAACGTTAGTCCCTTCAAGCCATTTCTCTGTTGCTAATTAGTTCACAGTCTCAGTAATTTTTGTCCTCAAAGTAACAAAAGCTCTTTACAATAAGAAAAACACAGCTCTCTAACTGAGAAGAAGCAGACCAGATCCACCAAGCCGTCAACTGCCTGGAACAGGTCTGCTGTGCAGACTAGAAGGAAAATAATTTCTTTGCTGCCTACACAGCCATGATGCACTATTGAGAATTCTTTATGGTGGAAATGATCAGATTAATCCGAGGACTTCTGCCAATGGCATTGATTCACCTCCCCTCTCCTTTCACTTTTTGCAGGCCATCTGTAAACAATACTGACTTGACAAAACCACCTTTTTAGGCACCGCTGTCACAATGGTGGAGAACTAAAAGGGCTGTAGTATATTTCTACTAGTCCATCAGTAGAGTGATGCTCTCTGGAATTTCTCAGGCTCTTTTGGCTTTAGAGAGCAGACCATCAAAACAGTCACTTCCTGTCATGGGGACGGTGTGCATCAAACAAACTGTGGAAGACAATGGTCCATGCATGACATGGGGGAACTTTCACGTCTCTATCTGTATTCTGAATACTAGATACAGAGTGAAGCCATTAGGGCTAATGTCATGCTCATCATGGCAGCTGAGATATTAAAATGCAGAGCCCCCAGACCAGTGGCCAGGACCCGGGCAGTGTGAGTGCCACTGAAAATCAGCTCGTGTGCCGCCTTTGCCATGCGTGCCATAGGTTGCCTACCCCTGAACAAGAGTGTTGTCCCACTTTATATATCAGTTTTCCAATTTTTTAGCAACCTGTATTAAACTGTGTTTTTATTAATATAGAGTTTAGTTAAACATTTGTTGACTCACTTCAAATTTGATATTTTATTTATCCAAAAAATATTTTTGTGAATGATAATTCATAGGTGCATTCTGCATCTTTAAGCGTGGAGTTTTCTGCTTTGGAGTTTTTAATGGTTAAAATTAATATATTTATTATGGAAAATTAGAAATACCTTTTGATCATAAGTAGTTTTAAAAAAATGTAATAGCATTATTGAGAAGTTTTTGGTTTTGAATCAATTTGACAAATTATATTGATTTTTTCAGAATTATGAAGTAACACCTCCCAAGACTGTTGTTAGAAAATTCAATAAAATATTGGAAAATGATTAACGCAAGTCATATCTGCACAATGGTTCTAAATAAACAGCATATTGTCCATCAAATTTTAAATAATTTACAGACATAATGACTCAGGCGCTATTACTGACTAAGTCCTACAGATTCATTAGTGGTCAGAGCTGCACAAAACAATCCAAAATACTGGGAAATGCAATGAAAAGCCCTGTTTCCCTTAAAGGCCCAATCCTATAAACATTTACACCTATGGCTAAATTAATACATTGTGAATAGTCCTATTGATCTTTAATATGGCTACTTACAGTTAAATTGTAGCCGTGTCATGCTGGGTTATTCGACACAAAGTGGGTGAAGTCCAATAAAAGATATTACCTCACCCATCTTGTCTCTCTAGTTACATTTAATAAAGTTAAGTACAGTATGTAACTATGTTTTTCGTTTTAGTTTGGTTTGGGTTTTTTGCAGGATTGGGGCTTTGATTAAAAATGTTAAAATAAGATTTGTTTGAAAAATCTGTACAATATTGCTATGGCAAAAATAGAGTTTTTCACTAGCAAAAATTAAACTGTCTTATTTTAGAAAGTCTCTGCTGTGCAACAAAATGTGTGTCCCATTATTTTAACTTGGTAAAAAATTGCTAAATTTTATTAAATTTGTAACTTAAATTTTGCTGGAATAATCTGTATGTTTACTGCATGCTGTTTTCCTGCCTGTAGCATTCATCATCTAGATGCTAATGAAGACCTTGAGTTGTACCAAACTGCAGATTTTCTATGAAATTGCCCCAAATCTCTTTTTAGTGTGAAACAAAAGCAGAGAATCTGTCACAGCTCTCAAGGGCATAGGCTCACATTATTTGGATAATATCTTGCTGCAGCTATAATAGCTTGGAGGGATGGTGACAGTTCTGACTCTCCCTCCCCTGTAAGAGGATGTCCTGCAAATTCTGATGCAATGGAATTTAAAGCCAGGGGAGAACTAATACAGATTGAGATGGGAAAATGTTAAAATGAAAGGTAGCTAATAATGTGAGTTAAAATGTGAGGCAGTTTTAGCAAATCTATGACAGGCTGGTATTTATCTTTAGTTTAATCTTTGTGTCAGTTTATAGTCAGATAGTGCTAATAGTGCAGCATTCCTTTAATTTCTGAGCAGTCTTCGGCTAATGTACCTTCTGATTAAAAAAAAGTTAAAGCACTAAATTGCAGGAAAGACCTTTCCTGGGGGGGTGCACATTATTCCTGGTAGCTGCCTTTATTCAACTTGCTTCTATATTATTTTGTCTGTCGTTTTTGGCTCTGCATTTTTCCTCTCTCTTTTCTGTCAAATTTATCTCATTATCCTTCTCTAAGATTATATGGAAAAGTTATCAGTAAGATGGAAAGGGGAACTGAAGGAGAAGGCAACATTCTGGTGACCTTAAATCTATTTCACATGATTATACAAATCTTTGTGGCTTGTTTGAATGATGGAAAGACCTGATTTGCATTTTTAGGTGTATCCAAAAGGTTCACTTGCAACACTGAAATATTCAGGTAACCTAAAATGTGCTGAGCAGGTGATATTTTGGACTGATAACCACTCTGATCTTAGAGGAGGTGTTTGTCTCCTGCTGTCCACAAAGGGACATGTAAACTAGTTAGGGGAAATGACAGTTTTTGCCCATTTCTGGAACTGAACCCAAATCAAATTTTGTTGAAGGCTATGAAATGCCTGATTAACTTTTTCCATTGCTTTTAATTTGTACCAATAAAAGCTTGAAAAGGATTGTCTAAATCAAATGATAAGTTACTTGGACCTGAAGTCTGGCAGTTGCCAAACTTGTAGGTGCCCTGCCACCTGGTGGAATTCACAACCCTGAGTTAGGCACCGACAGGCTCTATACAATATATAGGGAGAGCAGGGCACTTAAACAAGGGATTCACAGAAACCAGCAAGCTGAGCAGGGAGCTGCCATAAGACAATGAAAACCCCTCTTCAGTGTGCAGTGACAATGAGAAAAGGAAATAAAGTGTCAGTCTGCATAAGGAATCAGAGACAAAATAATGCTGAAAGTATTAAAAGGCCATTATAATGAAGGCACTAGTTGTGGTTCCATATTTAAGGCTCAAATAAGATTTGTACCTTATCTGGGGATTCACATCTTTGTTATGTATGAAATACACCTCTACCCCGATATAACGCTGTCCTCGGGAGCCAAAATTTTTTACTGCGTTATAGGTGAAACTGTGTTATATCGAACTTGCTTTGATCCGCCGGAGTGTGCAGCCCCGCCCCCCTGGAGCGCTGCTTTACCGTGTTATATCCGAATTCGTGTTATATTGTGTCGCGTTATATCGGGGTAGAGGTGTATATAGTTTATCATCCCCTGAAATTACAGCATGTACTCTAAGTATAAAATGACTTTTCTGAGAGCTAACAAGTAAAGCTGTTAATTAGTTTAGGAATTAAGAATAATTAAACATGGATCCATTAAGATATTTAACATGCAATGTCAGAGGGTGTTTTTCCACCCTTAATGATCTCAGTAACAAAATACAGTATTACAGACTCTTCAAACTTCCTGTATAGCTAGAATGCACTAAAATCTTATGCATCAGCTAGATCTGAAGAATTGTTTTAGGATTATTGCTCAGGTTTCTCCATTACTCTTCATAGCTTAAGTTCCTCTTCACCAGAGGCTGAAGAATAGTCTATTACAGAAGATTCTATAAAGAGCTGCCTTCTTTTAATATGTCTGCCATCTCCCATTATTCTCAGTGGGAGAGAAGCCCCAACTCCATTCAGCTGGAGGACATTTTGAGAAAGCTCTTCATACGACTGAGTGTTTCTGCCTCCTCACAGCATAGGGGCCAACATCTTCCCTGAGGGCAACTGTCCATATTTTTCCATGACATTTCCATACTTTTCATAGATTCCAAGGTCGGAAGGGGCCACTTTGATCATCTAGTCTGACATCCTGTGTAGCACAGACCTCAGAACTTCCTCCAAAACTTTGACATGTTTGGATTACTTTTATGTTTAACTCTGAATTTCCTGGGTTTTTAATTCTTCAGTTTTGGTTACTGATATATACTCTTAACATAGTTTTTCTCTGGGAATATCAAATGCTGTAATACATCACATTGAATTCAATGTACAGTTCTGGTTGCTCCATCTCTCAAAAGGAGGAAGCCAGAGATGGGCAGTGAAAATGACTAGAGGCCTGGAAAGCATATGATTGGAGACTAAGTAATCCAAAATGCTTGTGATGGGTTCGGTCACAGAAACCCCCTTGGGACTGTCACCTGATGTGCTGTCACTCTGAGCCCATTTTCTCTGCCAGGTCGGCCTCCAGAACCCTGCCTTTTTGAGTCAGAAACACCAGTCTGCTCCAACACAGACCCATGGTCTGAACCACGCACCCCAAAGCTTCAGACTTAACTGAAAACAGCTTAAGAAGTGCTCCTGTCTCTAGCACCCAGACACCCAGCTTCCAGTGGAATCCAAACCCCAAATAAATCCGTTTTACTCCGTATAAAGCTTATACAGGTTAAACTCATAATTTATCTGCCCCATAACACTGATAGAGAGATATGCACAGCTGTTTGCTCCCCCAGGTATTAATTACTTTGAGTTAATTTATAAGCAAAAGTGATTTTATTAAATATAAAAAGGAGGATTTAAGTGGTTCCAAGTAATAACAGACAGAACAAAGTAAGTTACCAAGCAAAATAAAACAAAAACATGCAAGTCTAAGCCTAATACATTAAGAAACTGATTACAGATAAATCTCACCCTCAGAGATGTTCCCATAAGCTTCTTTCACAGACTAGACTCCTTTCTAGTCTGGGCCAAATCCTTTCCCATGGTACAGTTCTTGTTCCAGCTCAGGTGGTAGCTAGAGGATTTCTCATGACTGCAGCCCCTTTGTTCTGTTCCACTCCCTTATATAGCTTTGGCAAAAGGCGGAGCCATTTACAACCAATTGTCCTAGTTGATGGGAGCCATCAAGACTCCAAACCACCATTAATGGCCCACACTTTGCATAATTACAATAGGACCTCAGAGTTATATTTCATATTTTTAGTTTCAGATACAAGAATGATACATTTATACAAATTGGATGACGACACTCAGTAGATTATAAGCTTTGTAATATGTTATATTTAACCAACAAAACTGTACAAAGGGATCCTTGAAATGATATCAACATTTGCTGGCAGCCTGCCTCTTGTTCCCTCCTGCTGCCCATCCTCCACACTGCCACCCATCCCAACTCCCTGCTAATGCTCAGCCCAGCCTCCAGCATCCTCTGTGGCACTTTCCCTGGCCCCACAGAATCTTTTTCACTCACACAGCGATTAAGGATTTTTTTTAAAAAAAACCTAATCAATGTAGTCAAAATGCAATCAAAACTCAGTAATGTGAACAGATAAGTGGGAGCCCCATAGCATCACTGAATTTCACACATTTTGCAAAAATTATCAAATAAGGGTTTAAATTCATTTACAAAACAAGAGTACATCACAAAATGTAGCCTGGTCATTTAATTAACAAGTGTAGTTTGGTTTCAGGATCCATCAGAGAATACTAATGCATAGTGTATAGAATATTTAGTAAAAGTACTTGTCATTAATATGAAAGCCAATCAAGCTAAATTTAACTCAAAGGAACACTTACATCTTGGACAGTGTCTTTAACAGCCTGAACTGATGCAAGAAAGGTTTAATTAAAAGAAAAATGGGGCAAACCTTTGCAGAAAATGACATACATGCTCTCTCTCTCCATTTTCTAGAATGTTACACAGCAAATGGGGCGGACTATCGGGGCACTCAGAACCAAACGTCCTTGCATGCGGGGAGACCTTGTCTCTTTTGGAATGAAACTTTTCAGCATCCTTACAATACCCTGAAATACCCCAATGGAGAGGGAGGGCTCGGAGAGCACAACTACTGCAGGTAAGGCATGGTCTCAGTGCTACCAACGTTGTACGCCCAATGTTTCTTTAGCCCTTTGACATAAAACTTAAAAGCTAATGGAATACAATGGTGGGTGCCCTGTCTGTCAAAGTAATGGCAATTAAACAGACATGTTTACATCCGGCCATCAGAATTGTTGGGGTTGATGCTGCTTTGAGCAGGGGGGTTGGACTAGATGACCTCCTGAGGTCTCTTCCAAACCTGATCTTCTATGATTCTGTGATCAGTTCCCTTTACCCTGGCCTCAGCATGAAAGTGCAAGCAGCTTTAGCGTAAAGATGCATGTCAGCATAGCTCTTCAGTCCACATCACAAACCAACTACAGTCTGGCATAAGAGAGAATGATTGGCCATCTCTTCAGAAAGGTGTCTAAAATAATAGAGCTTGCTTCATGTCCGGCGTAAAGAGCATTGGGTGGATGGTTTGAACATCACTCCTGGTTCTCTTTATGCCTGGATCCCTTAGACCCGATACCTCAGTCCCTTGTGTTTATGAAAACTAAATCATTCTCAATGAATTAGAATTGTGATTAAATTTCATTTTAAAATCTAAAGTCCAGTATTTAGAGTGCTGGTCTGGGGTTCAGGAGACCCACATTCAATTTCCTGCTCTTCCACAGATTTCCTGAGTGCCCTTGGGCAAGTTACTTTGTGCATGTATGCCTCAGTTCCCTATCTCTAAAAGGGGGTTAATAGCACTGCCCTCCCTCACAGGGGTGGGGGTGGAGCATAAATACAGTAAAGACTGCGAGGCACTCTGAGACTATGGTAATAGGGGCCATATTAAGTGCCTTTGATATCTATAGATAAGCTAAGTATGGTGTAGTCTGAAATGTGCAAGTACCAGTACTGCTGGAATGGTGTGACCACACACACACAGTGGGTGTGAGGTCACGGAGAAAGTCAGTTTGTAGTGCAAAATGCAGGGGTGAAAGTAACTTAAAGGACTTACCGGTACGCCGGAGTCCTGAGCGGGGGCGTGGCCTCAACCAGAAAAGGCGTGGCCTCAACCGGAAGAGGCAGGGCCTTTAAATCAGATTTAAAGGCCCCACTCCAGCTGCGACTGGGAGCCCTGGGGCCTTTAAATCACCCCCGGAGCTACCAGCTGCAGAGGCAGCTGGGAGCCCCAGGGCTCTGGCCACCACTACCGCAGCGGAGCTCCGAGCCCTTTAAATCGCTGCCCGAGCCCGGCTGCCTGAGCCCTGGGGTAGCGGCGGCAGGACTAGGGGGGTTCTTTAAAGGGCCAGGGGGAGCCCCAGGCCCTTTAAAGCGCTGCCCGAGCCCCGTTGCCTGAGCCCCAGGGTAGGCGGCAGGGCTCCGGTGACGCTTTAAAGGGCTCCCCGCAGCAGCAGAAGCCCCAGGCCCTTTAAAGTGCCGCCTGAGCCCGGCTGCCTGAGTCCCGGTGTAGCGGCGGCAGGGCTCGGGGGGTGGCACTTTAAAGGGCCTGGGGCTCCCCGCAGCGGCAGGAGCCCCGGGCCCTTTAAATCACCGCCCCAGCCCTGCTGCCGGAGCCCCGGGGCTCGGGAGGCAATTTAAAGGGCCTGGGGCTCCAGCCACTGCAGGGAGCCCCAGGCCCTTTAAAGCGCCAGCCTGGGGAAGCCGGTCTGGTCCGGCATGGTGTACCAGCTCTTGCCGGTACGCCATACCGGACCAGACTGTCTTACTTTCACCTCTGGCAAAATGGCATCCTCCGCACAGTATGATCTTGCAAAAGTGCTGAAATGGCATTCCGGCTGCTCTACACCCAATGTACTATATAGTAGAGCATACAGCTATACAAAAGCTTCCCCGTCAACACAATCCTGAAACACCTTCTGACGCCTGGTTTCAGGGACTTACCAGTGGAGCAGGGCCAGTTGACTGAAAGAGAAAAAAAATATTTTTAGACTATTTGAGACAGCTGGATGCTCAGTGAATGTAAAACATTTTTTCCAAAAATGACTAAGGTCCAAAGTCTGTGGGCCTCACTCATTAATTTAGTATGTGAGCTATAGAGCTGATGTTTAAAATGAGACTCTTGGCTAGGGATTTGGTATGTTTGTTTTTGGCTTCTTAAATGCAAAAGATATTCTTTTTATTTGTGACGCCATAGTTGTTGAGATTTTGTTTGTTTGTTTTTTAAGATTTCAATGCTTTTAATACTGATCAGTACTGAGACAATTCCCTGCATGATGTTAGGGATCTTAGAGGTAAGATGTAAAGCCAAGAGCTTGGCTACTTGAAAGTTGTGAGGGCTGTTAGTCCCAATGTCCTCACCAAATTTCACCTTGGGTAATTACATTCTGCTAACTTCAAGTCAATCCTTTTTCTAAATAGCCATTATATGTGTCTGCTGCATTCCATCCCCCCCAGTAGTGATTGCATTTCAGTGGTGGGGGAAGTTACCTATATCTTTCTTACCTATCTCATATCTGCTATTTAGACTGGTAAGGCTTAATTCATTATTATTTACTATTTTGTAGCACCCAGCACACTTTTGGGCACTACACAGACAAATAGAAAGACAGTTCGCTCTCTGAAAGAGCTTATAATTTTAATAAGACCAAGTTGTGACAAGGGAACAAAAAACATAGGGAGAAGGCACATGAACAGGGTTATGAATACAGGATAGTGGCATTACTTGAGGTTGTGTATGTGTCTTTGAACAAAAAAAATTAATACAAAATGAAAACAATTTCAATAATTTTATGTTGAATAGGGATGTGGGTGGACAAGGAGTGGATTAGACCTTGGGGAAAGAGAAAAGGTGTGGGGAGAAGAATCAGACTGAGTGATGGGAAAGGAGAAGGGTGGAATGGGGCAGTGGGAAGCTGAGGATAGAAAGGCACAGATAAGAGAAATGGTGACACACATAGCAGAGATAAGTAAAGATTGAAGAAATAAATCAATGATATTAGGAATGGGAGTATGTGAAAGCTCAATGGGTTGTGGTTGGAGATTCCCAATAGAGGCTGGGGAGGGGCGGTAGCCACACTCACATCCCATACCTTTGTCTAGGGCAGAGGTAGCACCACGAGGTAGGTCTTTTTTGTGCTGCCATGAGTACTTGTTTCATAGATTACAAGCCCAGACGGGACGACTGATCTTCTACTCTAACCAACTGTATAATACAGGCCATAGACTTCACTGAATTAATTCCTGTTTGAACTAGAGCATATCTTTAAAAAACATCCTGTCTTGATTTTAAAATGGCCAGTGATGGAGAATCCACCACACCCTTGGGAAATCCTTCTATTGGCTAATTACCCTCACTGTTAAAAATGTGTGCCTTATTTCACATCTGAATTTGTCTAGCTTCAACTTCCAGCTGTTGGACTGTGTTATACCTTTTTCTGCTAGAGAGAAGAGCCCATTATTAAATATTTGTTCCCCATATAGGTACTTATAGACTGTAATCAAGTTTATCCCTTCACCTTCTCTTTCTTAAACTAAATAGATTGAGCTCCTTGAGTCTATCCTATAATGCAGGTTTGCTAATCCTTCAATTATTCTCATGGGTCTTCTTTGAACTTTCTTCAATTTTTCTGCATCCTTCTAGAATGGTGGACACCATAACTGCACACAGTATTCCAGTAGCAGTAATACCAGTGCCCAATACAGAGGTAATATAACCTCCTTACTCTTACTTGAGATTCCCGTTTATAAATTCAAGAATCACGTTACCTTCTCAGCCCCATCATTGCACTGGGAGCTCCTGTTTAGCTGGTTATCCTCAAATCTTTTTCAGCATCACTATGTCTTGTGATAGAATCCCCCACCCTGTAAGTTTGGCCTATATCCTTTGTTCCTAGATATATACATTTAAATTTAGCCGTATTAAAACACACATATTTGTTTTCACCCAGTTTAAAAAGTGATACAGATTGCTCTTTATCAGGGACCTGTTCTCATCATTATCACTCCCCCAATTTCTTTGTCATCTGTAAATTTTATCAGTGATAATTTTATGCTTTCTTCCAGGTCATTGATAAAAATGTTAAAAAGCATATCATAGGGTCAAGAACTGATCTATTCAGGACCTCACTAGAAACATACCTGCTAAATGATGATATCATGTTTACAATTACATTTTGAGACCTATCAGTTAGCCAGCTTTTTAATCCTTTTAATGTATACTGTTGATTTTGTATCGTTCTAGATTTTAATCAGAAAGTTGTGCAGTACCAAGTCAAATGCCTTGCAGAAGTCTTAGTATGTTGCAGCAACAGTATTACCTTTATCAACCAAACTGGTAATCTCATTTTGTTTGCCTTTTTAAAATATTGGCACAACATTAGCTTTCTTCCAGTCTTCTGGAACTTCTCTATGTTCCAAGAGTTGTGGAAAATCAACATTAATGGTTCAGAGAACTCTATGGCCAACTCTTCTAAACCTCTGACATGCAAGTCATCTGTTACCTGTGAAGTGTTCTGACCACTTCTGAGAGAAGCACTGTTGAAGTGGAAAGCATTATTGTGACATTATGCATTTACTCATTTTTATATCACCTCAGCATCTCACAAGAATGGGGGGGGGAAGAAATAACAAAAAGACTCCATAAAAACCTGGATGTTCTGTCCCCAAAACAGTCCAGAAACCCCTTAAACATAGGTACCTTCAAGCTCACTAATGTCAGACTAGTGTACTATCAGGGGGCGTGGCCTCTAAAGGCTTTGAGTATTCACCAGAAACTCCATGTGGCATCCTCGTAGTCCTCTCCATGACAGGGCGAGAGGCAACTTCTCAGATTACTACACAGCCAGAAAGGGTGAGAGGTTATTGAAAAATCTGTAGTGCAAAGGTTTGGTATATTGTTGGAATTGTAGGCTATCATTTTAAAAGGGGGTGGGCTCTTTGGTCTCACTTATATGCTAGGGGGCTGTGTAATGAAGTATGGTATGGTAGTGAGTTTGCATTGGTGAGTTGTGACTCAATTTTAGGAAGCAGCCTCTCTCTCTCACTCTATGTTGCATCCTTCCAGCAGGCGTCATTTATGTTTTT